CACTAAAAACTAGAAATTCCAGAATCTGGAAATTTTTCCCAACATTCTGTCCGAATTTGAATCCCTATGTTAGAGGCCGAATTGGCCTTAGGTCAAAGAAGGAAAGTTGTATAGAATGGTATTTTATAGGTGCTACAAAATTTCAGCTCAATCGGAGCAACGTAGGATGTGAAAAGTCCAAAATACCCTTACTATTTTAAGTATTTCCCAAGCAGTCCGTGTGATCAGTTAAGTCCAGTTTATCACGTTTTTCGACTAGGATCCATTCTGATTTAGCTTTTTACCAAAACATGAAAGTTGTAGTATTCTGAATTATCTTTCAAATGCCTCTAAGAACACCTGATTCGGACTTGTGTACTCTGAGATATGTCCATTACAGTGTTCTGCGTTTAAACAGCCGACGAATTGGTTTCTGGTTTAGTAATTTGAGAATTTGACTAAGTTACATTAGGAACTGGACTAAGTGACCTTCATGAATGTTGTAGCTCTGTGTCTTAGATTCGAAACGGCATAGGTTTCGTCTCAATCCGATAAGCGTAGCTTCGGATATGTTATTTCCGCATTCGTACGTCAAATCTGTCTTGTGCTAAGTTGAATTTCTGCACTTGTGATTGTTGTAATTCTTATTCTTATGATATTGTGAGCCTATGGAACGGCTCTTGACTTGAATTGCTTATGTGTGATGTTGGGTTGTGGTTGAGGAAAAATAATGAAGCCAAAATGGCTGGAAAATTAGGTAAACACAAAGGGCATGCTGCCCAAATTTTCGCTCGAGGGCTAGGTTTCTATTTGAACTTGTATACTTTTGTTTGGCCAATACCATGACCGGTTTTCCATTTTAAAACATGATTTTTCATCCTGGGGTTCAAACAACCCTCTTCTTACTTGAAAGTCATCTTTACACGTTTTACTCCTAATTAGTCGGGTTTCTTTGTTTCCCTTAAATGTTTTGCTCGATAAACTGTAATATGTTCTCTTGTTCAACCTTAGGTTTCATTGGTGATTAAGGGTAATATCCGGAAGGATATTTTGCACGTTATTTTGCATATCTAGGTGAGTGTTCCTTATTTGACTTTATGGCTTGTTGTTATCATTTGCTAATGTGTTAATTGCTTTTAATGATTTCCAAAACGAGCTTTCTAGGCGAGTGTGTACTTTATCGCACTCGACCTAAATAACTGTGCAATTTTCAAGGATTTAATGATTGAAATGTTACTTGCGCATGAATGTAAGCCTTTTGGGCTGAACTGGCCATTGCCCCTTGTTACCGGTCGTCTCGAGCCAGAAGCGGACTCGGTCGGGCGATTAGGGACTTGGGTGAACGTTTGGTATACTCGAGTATTACCCTGTAGGTTGGTGGAGATGGCCAACGGCCAGGACGGGGGTGAATGAATGAATGAACGAACGAACGAACGAACGAGAGTTTATTGATAAACGAAAAATGCATTTTCAAATGATTGGAGGAATAAGGGGAAATGTCAGGAGAACGGATGAACGAATGAACGAATTGCTCCTTGTGAGCCGTATCCTTTTAATGAATGTTACTATTGCTTTCCATTGTAAATGTTTCTTGAATTATTGATACTCCATGTTTAATGTATTGAATTGATTGTTTGATTATCTGTTTGGAACCTCACTGAGCTTTTAGCTCACCCCTTTAGTTTTGTTTTCCTTAACAGGGGACGGCGAGCAGGATGAGAGCATAGACTAGCCTAGTCTAGGTCTTTTGTTTCTTTTGTAATGGTTCTCGCCCTAGTGCTTGGCACGGGCTAGTTGTATGGTGAAGTGAGAACCTTTGTACATTTGATGGTTGTACTTCCTTTTGAGATAGCAATGTATATAAGTTCCACTTTAAGTTTGGATTGCTGCCCTATTTATTCTTGTGATTTGTTCTGGATTTGATTAAAGAACGACTGAGTCCCGGCGAGAGTTGGGCAGGCGGCCCGCCAAACCCTCTAGTACGCCTTAGGGGGAGGTGGGGTCGTTACAGAGTGGTTCCTACAAAACTAAAACAATAAAGTTACAACTCCTAACAAGATAAAATAAGCTGCCAAAATAAACTAGTAGAAGATATATTTTATTTACACGCTTGATGTTTTTTAACCCATTAAGATTTTGAATCCAATTATTCCCACAAAGTAGCATTTGCACCGTTTCAACAGATATAGAAGCACACCTATCATCGATTATTCTACCACCAGCACTGAAAGTATATTTGGACGCCACAGTTGTAACTGGAATAGCGAGTACATCACTTGCCAATCTTGACGATATAGGAAACCTCCACCTTTCCCTTTTCCACCAACCCAGGACATCAAGATTTGCATTTGCATCACAAACATACCTGCCCTCTTCCAAAAAGACATCTAAATCTGATTTTTCAGGGGGAGCCTTGTCAATTTCACTAACAATCATCTGAAATTTTTCTTTCCCAGTTAAAACATTAACTCCAAGCTTTTTAGCAGCCCCTTGGGTAGATTTACTTGAAATTTTTGCATGTTTTCGTTTTCCAGCTTCCCTTTGTGGTTCCTCACTATGAGATGAGATGTGAGCATCCACATATTCATTATAGAGGTCATAAAGAATGCATCTAATCTCATCAATGTACCTAGGGGCTTCACCTTCTCCATAAATAACTGGGAAAGTATGATTAACAAGGACCATTTTGTACCTCGGATCAAGAATAGCACCCAAAGACATCAAGACATTGCTTTCACCCCAATACTTGTCAAATTTTTGTGCCATACTCTCAGCCATAAACCTAATATGATCAGAGAAATCGAGAGCTTTTTCATTTAACAGTTCTTTAATCCTAGGGGTGGCAATTCGGGTCCAAATTAGGTTGGCGACCCAACCCCATCAGAAAATCTGTTGACCCGAACCTGAAAATTTCAGGTTGACGGGTTGGCCAGTCGACCCGAAATGACCCGAAACTTAATTTGAATTTATTAATTTATCACTGTAATTTCTAATAAAATTAACTTCTCACAAAACTAATTACATAATCAAGTAATAAAAATTTAAATAAATAATTCCAAACCAAATCTAAAATAAATTAAACACCGTAAAAGTGTTTTATCCCAAATAAAATATAAAATAAATTAAAACAGTATAAAAGTAAAAAATAATATAATATATTATTTGTCCAAATATAATAATTTCAACTTCACACAAATTAAATAAATTTATTTAGGATTAAGTAATTAATGCCTTTGAAAAAAAGAATAACTTAGTTTAGTTAGATAAAATTATTTTTATGTTTATTAAATTATTTTTAATTCGTAAATGGGTCATATCGGGTCACTACGGGTTGACCCAAAATCAACATGTTTTCTTTTCGGGTTCATCAGATTCAACTCGATTCTGACCCGAATTCCCGAAACTTCAATCCAAACCCATTAATGTCGTGTTAGGTTCGTGTCGTGTTTTCAAGTCGTGTCGAAAATTGCCACCCCTATTTAATCCTATACAACTCTACAAGAAAAATGTTAGCTGTTGGGTAATCGGATCCAGAAATAATATTGGCGATCTCATAAAAAATACCAAAAAATTTACAAATTTCTTCAACTTTCATCCACTCGTGCTCACTTGGGGCATAGTGAAACCCAGGATCAATGTCCCCATGCCTGGGAAATACATCCCTAAACTCTAGAGCCGAAGCCAACATCAAATAAGTGCTGTTCCACCTAGTTGGGCAGTCCAAAATGAGCTTTTTAGAAGGCAATTGAAGCTGTTTTTTTATTTTGGCAAATTCATTGAGATGAGACTCTGAATTTTTCAAATATTTAATCCCTTCTCGAACAACATCAATCACATCAACAATTTGATTAAGCCCATCTTGAACAAGCAAATTAAGTATATGGGCACAACACCTAACATGAAAAATTTTTCCTCCAATGCTCAACCTTTTTCTTAGGGAGAAATCCTCTTTAACTCTCCTAATGCATACATCATTATAAGAAGCATTGTCCACAGTGATAGTAGAAACCTTATTCTCAATCCCCCACTCAAGAAAACACTTACTCAAAGCATCGGCAATAATTACCCCCGTGTGAGGAGGTGGGACATTACAAAAATTTAGAACCCGTTTTTGCAACACCCAATCACTATCAACAAAATGCCCTGTCACAGCCATGTATTGAATTTTTTGGACCAGATTTCCACAAATCTGTGGTTATACTAACCCTATTGGTACCTTTTAATATATTTCTAAGCCTTCTCTTTTCAAGCATGTAAGCAGTCACACAATCTTCCTTTACTGTTTGCCGGTTAATCTTTTTATAAAATGGAGATGTAGCTTTCATGAACTTGTTAAAAACAACATGGTCCAACATAGAGAAAGGATACTCATGCACAAAAATCATATGAGCTGCTAACTCTCGTACTTTAGCATGATCTTAGGAGAAATTAGTTATAGAAGTTATACCATCCGAGGGTCCTTCAGTAAAGGATAACACTTGCTGCCTCTTTCGATTTTCCTCCCCAACAGCCAGCCTCTTTTGTAGGCAATTTTTGAGGTGACGCTTGTGTTGAGAAGTAGCTCCAGATGGACTTTTGGCAAATAGTTCTTTGCAGTGATTGCACTGCACTTTCAATGTTCCATCAGGCTGTTTTACTACTATCATATCCTCCCATATTGTTGACTTCTTTTTCCGTTGCTTTTTTTCAAACGGATTTGCTCCTTCAACAGGACCTTTTTCCCCTGTTTCTGCTCCTTCATTCAGCTGCTCTAAGTTATCTAAGTCCAGCTCTTCTTCACTCATCTCATTAGCATTAGACTCCACCTCAAGTTCTTGTTCTACAGCTTCATTTCCAACCTCCATAATAGGACTTGTTGACGATCCTTGGTGTGAATGAAATGGAGGACTGTACATACCTATTATTTAAAAGGGAAAATATACTTGAGTCAAATCCATAAGGAACATATGCAGGAATATATGCAGTCAAGTCCATATGATATTTAATAACTATTTTCAGCTTGCTTTTCGCCATTTCTACAAATGCATTTATCTAAATTAGCAACAAAACCTGAAGTACCTTCACCCAAGGTAGTGAAGGGTAGGACCCAAATAACACTCTACCAGTAAGTAGTAACCACAATCATTTGGGGTTCAATCAGGACAAAAAGAGATTAGACATGGTGGATCCTATATATATAAAGCGTTGAAAGTACCCGAAATCATCTCATGGCCAAAACAAAAGCAAGTATGTACTAGTACTTTATAAGTCTAGCTTGCTACATCAAAAAACAAAAAAACCCAGATAATATTGATAATTCTTTCATTAACGTTCGTTCATTGAGCAATGCGTTAATTTTGCAGCAGTAATTACTAAGTCCAAATGCAAAATTCTAACAAAACAAACCAACTAAAGAGAAAACAAGGAGAAGTCAGAAAAATCATATATATATATATATATATATATATATATATATATATATATATATATATATATATAATTTATGTCAGACCACCACCAAAATGTGCATCCTGAACAAATGACAAAAAAAGTTTAGTTCCAACTCCAAGTGTGTTGTCCCCTGGCCTAAACAGAGGAGGTAGAGTGCCACCAGCATGTATAAGTAGGCGTTATTAACAACGACAATTAATGGGAACATTCTCAGTAAAAAACAAGTCAAATATTCTGAATCAAAAAACCCCCCTCCCTCCGTCCTCCAATTTGGTGTTAGAGACAGACTGACTGACAAGCATCGTCCTTGATCCTACAACAAATAATAATAACGAAGGGGGGCCAGGCAACGAAAACATAATAATAATATTATTCTCTCCGAGTTGGATTGGATATCTTTTAGTACCTTATTAGTCACTCACTAAAAATTAAACACTTACCAGAAATCACGATGGATTAGAGAAACCAGTCAAATTGGACTGGTTTTGGCTGTTGTAGTGGACCGGCTGTTAATGGAAGAAAACAGAGGTGCTGGCTGTGGGCTGCAGTGGAGAGGCAGAGCTTGTTGTGGGTTGCGGCTGTGGGCTGCGGGTATCTAAACGTCAGGCTGCGGTGGAGAGCTGTGGTGGAGAGGCAGAGGTTGCTGTGGGTTGTGGCTGTCGGCTGCGAGTTGCGGCTGTGGGTTGCGGTGGAGAGGCTGCGGTGGAGAGGGAGGTTGCTGGCCGTGGGGTTGCTGGCTGTGGAGTGCGGCGGAGAGGAAGGTTACTGGCTGTGGGGTGCGGCGGGAGACGAAGGGGTGCGGCTGTGGGTTGCGGGGGAGAGGGAGGTTGCTGGCAGTGGCTGTTGAGTGCGGCGGAGAGGAAGGTTGCTGGCTATGGGGTGCGGTGGAGAGGAAGGGGTGCGGCTGTGGGTTGCGGAGGAGAGTGCGACTGTGGGTTGGGACTTGGGAGGTTGCTGAAATGAAACGATGCAATATCGAACCCTAGTCCAAATTTCTTCTCTTTGACTGCTAAAATGACAAAAATGCCCTTCTTTGTCGAGTTCAATCGAGCTACTCGATAAAGAAGCGAATTCGAGCTTACTCGGCTCGATAACTAAACGAGTATTTTTGTCGAGCCTTAAGGAGTTTTCGAGCTGCTCGTCTGGCTTAACAGCTCTAATAGTGACCCACTCCTTTTTTACGAATGTAGTAAAATTTAAACCCTTATTTTGAATAATCAATCATCCTACCACTAAAATTTTTTCACATTTTGCATTTAAGCATCATATTCCTCTTATGCCAATTTTATAACTACCCTCACTATTATGGCAAATTAATTAGGCAAAGAAATTTAGAAGAGAAAATATCAAATTACATACAAAATGGTTGTTCTAATAAGTACTTTTTTTTTTTTGCAATTAAACAATCCTTCCATTTTAAAAGATTATTTGTCACTTAAATAGCCCACCCAGCCTTAGGAAAGGTGCCCGAAATTATCCCTTTCCATTTTACTCACTATTTTCCAATTACCAAACAGGGCCCAAAAGTACAAACAGGCGCCAACTTGCTGAGAATTTCACCCTCTTTTTCTTCTGACAGAGTCCTTCACCCCTTCGTTCCAACCTCCATATGTTGCTCTCGCAAATGGCAACCGTTTGCAGAAAAACCACAGCTCGTAAAAAAAGGAAAAATAAAAGGAATAATAGAAAAAAAAGTAAAAAACAGCGGAGTGAGCTTCTGTTTGAGCAGCCGCAAACCCTAGTCTCTCCTCTCACTGACTTCGAAGGTACCGCTTTCAGATATACGTGCATATAATTTTTTTCATTTGATAACTGTTTGTTATACTTTTAAGTATAATTTGATTCATAATTCTTATTTAGTTTTGCTTCATCATACTTGAATAGCTGTAAAATTATTGAGCCCGAGGGCATGTGTGTTTATGCGTTTCTAGTGTGTGTGTGTTTTTTTTTTTTTTTTTGGGTTTTATTGTTAGTACTTTTTTGGGAACAGAAAGTGTTTAGATGTTTGATTTACCAGGTTAGCAAGCTGCTGACTGCCGTCTGAGAAGGCCATGTAGAATTTGGAATGTTGGATATGAAGTTTGTAATCCTAGGTTGGAGTTAGATAGGTTATGTGTAGTTTACGTATGTATGAATTCATGTAAAATTTTCATAAATTATTGGCAGTTTCTTTAGGTATTCAATGCGTAGACTTCCTTTTTATTTGTTGTTTAAACTAAACTTTGATGGAATTTCAGACATTGGGTAGTTTCTATGGAGATATATCTTCTATTTACACATTGACTAGATAGAAAAGGTTGTTGAACTTGATTATTGGTTACATTTATCCCTTCTTGTTGGGACAAATACATGCATGGCAAGCAATGGGTAATTAGTTTTGTGGTTTGCGTGGATGTGAACTACATACCTAAGTTGTCCTTTTATTAATTCTGTTGGCGCTCATTTGTTGGTCAAATGTGGTTGGTTGAAGTAGAAGTTCATTAATTCATTGGTTAGAATATCCTTAACTTGGAAACATAATGTGGGACGAACTTCAATATTTGGTCTAGACCCCACACATGCATTGGCACTATGATTTATGGTGCATTTTGCCTTTGCTGCTATGGATTATCATGGGACTAATTTAGTGTTTTTATTGATTTTGTGGAAAGGATCTCGATATGGTGTCATGCTAGCCATGATTTTATCTTCTTCGTCCAAACTTGGAGAAAAAATTTGATTCTATGCAAACTTAGAACTGTTTTGTGATTTTATCATATGTGCAATGGCTTTTCAAATAGCAGATGATACATATTTAAGATAGCTTTCTCCTTGATGAAGTTTCAAAATGCAGGTTCCCTGTTATGTCTTTGAGTTATCCAATCTACTGCTTCAAAATTGAATAAGTAATCATTTATTTCTTTAAAGTTATGTTTGGCTAACTATAGAAAGAGTTTATATAACTGTCAGCAGAAAGAGGAATGAAAATATTATAACTAAATTAAATCTTCTTGTCTATTAATCTTGAAATTACCTGTAGTATAGAGTGGATGGATGTTTTAGCTAAGTGGCCAATTGTTATGAGTTACTCGAGATTCTTCTTATGTATATTGACATCTTCAGTTCTTGACACGTTCACAAATTTTCAAGTTAGCAATCAAATTAATCGGTTGATCATAACATTTTTTTTGGTGTGTAAATGTCAATGGTAACATTTATATCAGTTTAAAAAGGAGAATGTATAGAAACTTAGATGAGCCAAGATGAATAGGCATGAAGCCCATTGGTTGGGAAACAAGATAAATTGTGATTGGTAATCAGATTGCAGCTTGAGTTTGTTTCCCTCTTACATGTCCATGCCAAATTAAATAACGTTTTGCGTTTTCTGGTGGACAACTCAGTCAAATTTCATGTTTAAATGAACATAAACGCAGTTAGTCTACATCATGCTTTTGGAGCCTTGCTTCCATGCTAATCAGTTTAAGTGAATAAAAAATCATCTCATAACGGGAATGGAATTTAATTTTGGATTGTATTTTGAGGAAACTGACTAACCGATCAGCATGAAAGTTTTAGAAGATGAGCTGCCCATTTCCCCAAATATGATGAAGATGAAGAAGATTATTCTTCTTTGGAGAATCCTGTTGTCCCTAAACTTGCTTTTAACTTCTTGAACACTCCTATTTTTTAGTAAGGGCAAATAGCAAGCATGGAATGAGGTTGTTTTGGATATTCGTTAATTGAATATCTAAATGTGAATCCTAATTATGATATTTGCTTTGAGTTCCTGGTACATGGTGATTTACCTTATCAATCATGCCATCCCAGTTGGATATTTCTTCTGCTTGCCGCTGCTATTAATGCAGTGGAAGCAAAAAGTAAACTTTTTCCCTCCTAGACAAGAAAATGTTGATTCAGATGCCCTCATGTGTTTCTTTTGATTTCCCTTCTCAGAGAAAAATTTTAGTCAAGTTTAGACCACACCTGTTGGAAAAGAAGTTAGTGAATTAATTGCGTCCTTAAGAATTGTTTCTCAAATGAAAAGCAGATATGACCAAGGTGTAGTGGATCAAATGCCACGTGAGGTATTTTGAATAAGAAGCGGATGATCTCATATGAATAATGAACTGCCATCAGGTAGATGGCTAGTTTGAGGTTGAGTTTCAATAAAAAAAATCTGGGATAATATTCTTGAAATGTGATTTATTTGTCAAATTTTATGAAATTTGATATCCATTAACATTTACAGGTTTGAAACAGTTTTAGATTCTTTTCCAATCCTTGAATTAATTACTTAAGATGTTCATGCATGTGAACAGAGCAATAAGGAAAGAAGGAATGGGGTTGCTGAATATCATCAATCTTTTATTTCTTCATGAGATGAGGTCGACCATTAGAGCTTTTAACTATGTGAATTTAGCCGAATACTTGGTGTTCAGGCTCTGTTTGTATATTATATGAATAGGGTTCGAGTTCAGATCAAATATTAACGAATTATAAGTGTTGCTCGAATTTGATTCGTTTATTTGTATAAATATTTGAATTTTAAATATTTGAATTCAAGTTCGAGTTCAAGCTCGAATTTGAATTTGGAGATGATTTAATTATATTTTTAATAATTAATACTTCATTTAGAATAAGTTTAATTGTATTTCTTGGTTTTAATAAACTAAATAAGACTAATTTATGAATAATTACTTTTCTAGGTAAAATATAACATATATTTAATCATATTAAATGTATCTATATTTTTATTTATTTATATTTATTATTATATAGGCGTTCACAAACTATTTGACTAGTTCAAGAACAGCTTCGTGTTCGGCTCGATTATTAAACGAGCCTAATATTGTGTTCAAACTCGATTCGTTTATTAAACGATCATCGTTTTTCAAACTCGAATGAGCCGAATACGAACATGTTTGCGAACAGCTTGGTTACTTAAAAGCTCTATCGACCATAGAAAGTAAATAGTCTACACAACTTTGTCAATTTTTCTTTAGGGCCTTCTAGAAAGCACAATCATTAACAGCTTACCAACTTTTTTTTTTCACCAGTCATTTTTTTACTCACTGGTGCAAATGTTGACTTAATTAAATACTGTATTTTCCTCCGTTTCCACATGCAGCAAAATAACTGAACTTCATTACAACGCCCTTTTTTTAGAGCCTAGACACTGCTAAGGACCGTGTCTTGGCCCTGGCTGGCCCTGATTTTAACACCTGTTGGTTTTGAAACAAATTAGACTACTTCCTTGTCTACGGGCCTTTAAACAGTGACATTTTTTGCCTGTCATTCACATTATTTTTCTTCAAACTACTATAAGAGTAATTCTGCATGTCATTAGGTTTGTGAATATTCTCTTGGCTAAAGCATTATTTTTTCTGTTTTATTTACTAAAACTGTTTGGTCTCAAGGTTAGCACTTCCATCCGAGTACACACTAGTTGTGCTGTCTTAAGTCTCTGAAGTGGTTTCTGAATTTGACCTTGATTTATCTACCATAGTTATTAAAGGCGTGTCATGGAGATAGTAAGGGGCAATTTTTGCACATGATTTTGATATAGGAATTTGTTAGAAAGCTCACCTCTTTTGGGCTTGGGAGAAGGGGCACAAGGCTCTTGGGAGCACACTTTTTCATTTTTTTTGGTTGAGTCTTTAATTTAGAGTTGACTCATTGAGATGATCATTCAAAATCATTAGAAGTTTCTTAATATTATCTACTTTTGATCATGTTGTTTTGGGTTGATGGTTCATTCTTAGTTGTGACTATGATGGTGTGTTAAATATGTTTATGACGTGTGTATCTATGACTCTTATATGAATGTGCTTAGTGTTTAGGGGATGGTTATTGATGCTTTATTTTCTATATTCTTATTGTGAATGACTGAATATTACATATGCTGTTGTGTTTTTTTTGGTGCATTTGTTAGTTAACCTTTGTTCCTAGATGCGCCTTGTGGCTCAAATAATTAATATATCCAGAATTAGATCAAAGAGGGGCGTTGCCAGTGTCTTTGATTTGATCGTTTCCATGTAGTCCATTTATGTTGCATTCGAGATAATAATTTAATATGTAAGGAAACACTTATATGAGTGCAAGTATTCTCTGTGTATGATATATATATATATATATATATATATATATATATACATACATACATCCATACATATGTGTGTGCGCGCGCGCACTATAAATGTGTATAAATATGTGTATGTATGTTATGTATGTATATTGTTGCTCGGGAGTAGATTTGTGTTGGAAAGGTAGGTAGTAAATGCTAAACCAAGTGGATTCAGAAAGCAATACTTGGAACATATTTCTTTTCCAGTTACGCAATAGAAATGTTTCAAAAGAATCTTTTGGCATGCATATTCTTCTTATCCACGACAAACTTCTTGCCATATAGGTCTCCGCTCAGTCTTCACTCACTCTAATGCATTGATATGTTCGCCCTCTTACTTCTCATAGTGCAATTCTGCCACCTGTCCTGTCTTTTTCTTGGGAAGTTGTGAAAATGATTCAGTCAAATAGTTTGATTTTCACAGTGCCACAGGGAGATTTTGCAACTTTTTATCTGCTTTACCCAGCAAACTTCATATTTTTTCTACCTTTCCTAAGTAATGCTTCTTAATTTATGAGAGATTAGTGTTCTTTTAGCTTTCTTAATGGAGAAACAAAATCTAAAGGAACTTTTTAGGGAAATTTACAGATCTCCTCCTTCCAACACTTCAATTCGATCTAGGAGGCGTCACAAGAAGGTCTCTCCTATTCTTAATTCTTGCATCTGTCTTTCTTGGCATTTTGTTTTAGAATAGTTTTTTTTCCCTGATTGATGAGGATATGGTGCGTGATATACTTTAGTTTGTTTATCATCTATTAGATTCATTAGGAATTGAAACATTTTTTCTCAATTAGCCATGCCCACCTCTAACCCTTGGACTTAAGTGGTATCTATTGATGTGATGCAGAAGAACGGCTTTAATTTTTATATCTGCTCTTGTTTGTACAATTCTGAGGATAACTAATTTTAACGGTTACAAAAATTGAATTCTTAAAAATAGTTAATCTTGGAATTGAGAGTTAGAATTCGTTCAAGATTTTAGGATGCTAATGGACCTTGTCAAAGATAATCAGGATTCTGCAATTTTGCAGACTAATTGCCTGATAGCCTTTTAGTTTTGGCATAGAAAGAAATGGTGAATGTATGGACCATCTAGAGTAAAAAATATTTCTTTCTTGGAAAAAGTAGAACTAGTAAATTTGTTGTCTTGACTTTTCTTCCAATGTGCTAATATGGTTTATTTGGTATTTGTTTCCATAGTTCTGATGGGTATGTAAGGTTTTCTTTTTAACAAAATAAGAAATTCTCTTAATTTTGGTGGTATGTAAGAAAATACTACCATTTTACTTGATATGCTGGTTCTTGTTTGGTTGATTTTTTGTATGTGAAATTGAGTTTAAATTTTGCTCTTAAATACAGTGCTGTTAGACGTTTTGCTTCAAATCTTGTTGTGGTGTGATGTAATTCCTAGTTCAACTACTATGAGGTGCGAAGGTTACTAATAGAGAACAACGTAAGGTCATTAAAGATATATTGAAGTTTAAAATAGTTTTCGAGTTCCAATTAGGTTTTGAGTAGATTTGCAGCATATGTGATAGTTGGAATTACTGCACCGACTGTCAACACAAAATCTGCTCTTTTTAATTTTTTTAATTTCTAAAATTTACTGTTGCATGAAAGTTTTGTCAGACACAGATTGGTTGGTTGAAGCCATGTTTTAACTCTTGCTTTATCGCTGCCCTCTATCTTTTTGGAACCTAATCTACACCTTTTAAGCAAATTACTAGGATAGTGCGTCTATTACTTTTTGTCTCAAGAAGTCTTTTTAGACTTCAAATAATTGGTTTCAATTGCATTTAAGGTCTGTTTGTTATATAGCTCATGCCTTGAAAAAAAAGTTTATGTCATGAGCAAGCCACTAATTAACGTTCTCTAGTTTCGTGGTGATTGTTCATGACTATAATATCCAAATTGTCATATTTTAAACATTTAATAAGTGAATGTTGTTTTGTAGGTTGAACTTCCAGAGGGACTATCATCATTCACCCATATTTACCAAAATGATTTTGTTGGCCGAAAGTAAGATTTCACATTGTCTGTGCTTCTCGCTAAGTTATATTTACTTTGTTGAACTGAGTGGTAAATTTAGTCCTTCTCTACTCTGCTCCTCCTTATGGTATGTGATTGCTTGTATGGTTTTTCCTTAGGTTACAGAGACTTTGCTTCTATAATTAGTTTGACTTCTGGACTTCTTCAATGGGCAAAATTAGGGACGCAAAGAAAACTTGTCAAAATTTCATTTTACCAATCTTAATTTTCAAATTAACGCAACTTTGCAGCCATGTACCATTTAAGTCTTAAAGGATGGATGAATATAATGAAGTAGCTTTTGGATTTTAGCTGAATGTTTATTACTGCTTGTAATTAGTTGCGATGGAAATGACATACTAAAGTATCGTCTTCTGCTCTCAGACCAAAGAAGGTGAAGGATGATGATGTGGCCATTTGTTTCTGTAAATATGATCCCAATAACCCTGAAAGTGCTTGTGGAGATGGGTGCTTGAACGTCATGACCAGCACGGAATGTATACGTGGGTATTGCCCATGTCAGGACTATTGCAAGAATCAGGTGAGTTTTGCTGGTTGAGTTATCTATTGTGACAATTTCCACATAGGGTACTGTGACCTTTGTCTTAGTTGTTCAGTGGAAAAAGAGATTTGGAAAGAAAGGGAAACAGGACTGAGACTATGAATAATTTTTTAACCTAAGATGATGATTAAGCTGCTATAGATATGCTACATGACTGCTGATATGGCTTTTGGGTCCAAATAATTATTTTGTTGCTGACTCTGATTACATGTTAGTCTTCCCAGTTGACATATCTCTGATGGGCATAGGTCCCATGATGATGTGGAAGAGGACTTTGGATCTGTTGATCACTGAGTCTGCACTCTGATATGAGGTGGACCTATTTTTGGTTGCTGTTGAACCCTTGCCCTCAAGCAACCACATTAGAAGTAGCGTTAGTATCCTTGCTTCATGTATTAGGTAGGAAGCCATTTTCTTTACATGGTAAATTGTTGAATAGCCCCTACCGCTTCAAAAGTTCTCAAATTGATTCCCATGTATTCAAAATGAATTCGGTCCTGATGTGTATTAATTCTACTACAATTTGGTCCCCCATTTGGTTGGGGTAATTTTTTCAGCGTCTGGAGAGAAGGATTTAGTACTCACAGTGGGGCTAATACTCACAGTGGGGCATAAAGGTTATTTGGTACTATGGAAATGACCAACTGATTACTGTGGAATTTCCACAGTTTACCTGATTTGTAAACTTTGCAAATGGGGTTTAACATGCAGAGTTTGGTATCCTGGATAGTGGTTGCTGAAGAGTATGGGGATTGAGGATAAAGGTGTTACGCTCGTGTGACGTTATTTCACTATATTATTTGTTAATTGTGTAAGGGAGAGAGGAAGAGATCTCAGTTGGAAGTCTATTAGGTGTATTGGATTAGTGAGCTTGTTGTTTTGTGGTTTAGATTGCCAGTTTAGATTCCGTTTGTTTGCTGATAACTTGAGAAAATGACATCCAAATGCAATGACTTTCTAATTACCTGATTTAAAGCCAAAATTTTCTAGGCTATTGGGTTCATCACATTTTGAGTTTGGAGTGAATGACAAAAGAAGAAAGTTTCTGCAATGAGTTCGGTCTTTATTGTGTATAAAAAAAGTAAATAAATGCATCCAATTTGCTTGATTCCTACTCAAGTGAGCATAGACCCGATGAAATACCAAATGTATTTTCATAACCTTATTATCCTCATTTGGCCTTCTTAAAGATGCTTGTGGATACAATTGGTATTCTTTACTTGCAACAAATGCAGTGTTAGATGCTTCATTGTAGACATCCACTAGCAGACAAGGCATCTTTTGGATTCATTAGAGAGGTAAGAAAAGGCAACAGCCACCTACAGATGATCTAATGTGCTTTTGATTCCCAATGGGTTATGTCAGTTTAAGTTGCTCACTTTGTTTGGTCAAATGTTCTTGACTATTTGTCCAAAGGGGAAGAAAATAACTGCTGACATGAGTTTTAACTCTTGATTATTTGTTGTCTGCTAGAATGCATGATGCATGTATAGAACATAGAGACATGGGATCTTAACCGGAAGTTTGTGATGTATTAAAATCTTTTAGAATGTCACCTGATTGAGATTTTTTGCATGTATATTTTTGTGGAGGATATATTAAGATTTGTTTTTTTTTTTTTACAACTCTTGACAGAGATTTCAAAATTGTGAATATGCCAAAACCAAGTTGTTGCAAACTGAAGGGCATGGATGGGGTCTTTTAGCTGATGAAGATATTAAGGTTCTGCAACATATACACCTTTTGCCTAATTCAATTGTTCAAATTTTCTTGTTTAAAACTAATTACATCAGTAAGAGACTAAGATTGATATTGACAGAAAGTTATGAAACATGTAACAATGTTCCCTAGCAACTTTATCCTCTTAGCACATATATGCTCATTAGCATGGCATTCCTGCAGTTGCTTGTCCAGTATTTCTAGTAGAAATGTATCAGCAATTTTATGATTTTAATGATGTTCTAGTTTAATGGAGATTAATTGCTGCTTTTGTTAACCTTTTGATCTCACATTCAATCGTACTACTATTGTTGTTACTTGATCCACTTACGCTCACGACATGCTTTTATTGACCATTTTCCCCTGAAATTGCATGTTTAGGCTGGACAATTCATTATTGAATATTGTGGAGAGGTTATCTCGTTGGAAGAAGCCAAGCATAGATCACAAAGTTACGAAGCACAAGGTGAATTAAAACTTTCTGCATACATGCTGTTATCCAACTGCTCTGACTAACTGTACATTTTTAATGACTTGATGTAGGTCTTAAGGATGCATATATAATTTCTCTAAATTCTAATTATTTCATTGATGCTACAAAGAGGGGGAGCCTTGCCAGGTTTATAAATCATTCATGGTGAGTCTTTTAGATGTATAAATGGATATAATCTGTCCATGTTAAATGCATTTTCAGTTTCAAGTAACAATGTGGTTGAGATCCTGTGTCTTAACTCATCTGGGAATCTAGAAATGCAATTTATACTTTTTACACTTGAAATTGTAGTCTACCTAATTGCGAGACAAGGAAATGGACTGTGTTGGGGGAAACACGAGTGGGGATCTTTGCAAAGGTAGACATATCATCTGGAACAGAGCTGTCATACAATTACAACTTTGAGTGGTATGGTGGTGCCACTGTTTGCTGTCTGTGTAGGGCTGCTAATTGTTGTCTATTTCTGGCCGCAAAATCTCAGGGTTTTCAGGTGATATTTTTTAGGCAATTGCTTTATTCGTTTGAAAAATTTACGGTTTTAATTTTGATTAGAATTATTTTAGTAGATTAAGGTGTTATTTGCACTTTGTTGTACACAATTGCAGACGCTGATGTGCTAAACACTTAAATGGTTTTTTAAATCACTTGATTAGTATATTCATGAAAACCCATCCCTGGGCCTAGCAGTTGGGGAACAGGGAGTGATAGGGGAGGCATGGGAGGGTAAAGAAAAATTAAAAATTAAAACATTCACGAAAACCCTCTTTTTTCGGGGGAGTAAGATGTTTTGTGTTTGCATATATAGTAAAGCTAACTCTGTGGAGGGAGAAGCTGAATTTAATCAAAATCAGTTATTTCTTGTGGGGTTTTTCTCCTACTATCAAGCACTACATGGATCAAGTTTCTTGAATGAAGTAAGGGCTAATGCCTATGAACAATGTAATCTAGTTAATCGAAGATTCAAATGGTATTACATTACAGCTATGAGTCACATTGTTATCCGTGTTGACAACCTAGTTTGGTTACCTGAGCAGCAAATTTCTTCTTGCACTTATTCTTGAAATTTGTGGCACTTCAAGTTTATCTACATGTCTGTCATTGTTAGCCCCTTGTAAGTATTTCACATTGATCATCCATTGGCCATGCCTAGCTTATTAGTGTTTGACTTTTTGTTCTTTGAGAAACAAATTTTACTCGTTGAAATGAAACGTGGAGGGAAAGTTATTAATTGTTAAATAGTTGACGCAACACGAACACTTGGTGGGCACAACAACTTTGTAGAAAAGCCCAAATATCGCATTTGACCCGAAGTTAAAATAGCAACTAGGAATAGGATGAGAAAATATGCTTAAGAAGATGAAAATCTGATTAGTAATTCTAGAAATCACTCCTAGGAATCTTCAGGCATCACACCTAAAGTTAGGACGTATTCACACAACCCTAAGAAAAGAGGATCAGAAAATATAGGATTCAAACCAACTTCCAAGTTGGTTCCTTGTCATCAAAAGCATGCCAAATCAATACTTGTCATAAAATTTTTCCACTTGTTTGTGTTCAGTAATCTTTGATGTAGGAATAACATCAGAAATTACTATTTTTATCTCTCTACTACTATCTTTCATATCTGCCATTATAATTCACACAAGAAAGAACTAAAAGTGACTCAATAGGGTCACGTCAAAAGATAAACTAATAACAGAGTCTAAAGCTCTGATACCATGGAAACTAAGAAAAAGGGAGAGAAAATACTATTCTTCATATTTTTTTGGACTACACAATGTACAAATATATATATACACAAGTGTAACCTAATTTAGATCCTAAAATCATGCTAATCTAAATCAATCTATTACCTAATTAATATCTGATACTATAATCAAAACAAATTTAATCTAATCTTTCCTAATATCTACAATATCAAATCTTTCTATAATATCAGATCGCATATCTTCAACACAAATCATCACACATTAAGTCATGCCAAATCAGTCAAATAATCAGCACCTTCATCCTCCTCGACCTCTAGATTTTTCTTATCTCCGAAATCAACGCCAATATGCAAGTTTCTCTTGTTCGGGCACTCCTATGCCATGTGTCCCTTGAAACCACATTTGAAACATCCATCTTTGTTCTTGTTTCTTTCATCGATTGTGGAAGCCTTAGTTTTTGTCTCTGCAGGCTTGGAAGTTGCTTAAGTTGCTGCTGATTTACATGGCTTGCCATTATCCTTTTGGTACTACCTCCCCACCTTGAGTATTGAACCTCTTAAATAGTGGCTGCTGCAGGCTCTTTTCAAATCTAAGAGCTGCTTGGAATGCATTATCAATTGTGTAGATATCACGTCCCATCAATTCTTTGCGAATTTTAGGTCTCAAACCCAACTTAAATCTGGATAAAAGCTTGTGCTGAACTTTCTGTTCCTCCCTAGCAAATTTTTAGCTCTTCAAACTTGTTCATATACTCAGCAGCTGTCATTCCTCCTTGGCTTAAATTATTCATATCATTGAAAAGATCAGTTGCATAATGTAGAGGCACATACTCTCTTCAAACGCAGCTTCATCTCTTCCCCCGTCAAGTCTAGTAGTCCAGCAAGTCGAAGATCATGCTCGACTCCTGTCCACCACACTTGGGCTTGTCCAACAAGTTTCATGATAGCAAACTTAACTTTTCTCTCATTAGTCGTATCATACCAATCAAAATGGTGTTCCAAAGTAGCAAGCCAATCAGAGAAAACCTTAGGATCAATTCTTCCATCGAAATCAAGAATATCAACTCTTAGCTTTTTTTGTGATGTCTCCTGCAAAATCATAAGTCTTGTCTCCCTTCCCTTGCTGATGAACAATCTCATCAGCCATGTCAAGAAGAGAAGCTCATGGCCTTCCAAAAGATTGATTCACTCTATTTTCACCCCCACCAGATTGATTCCCAGTTGTGTCTTCGGGCTGTTCGGGATGCTTTGGTTCCTTTCCATTGATTTTGATCCTAGATCCGGACCCACCGTTGCCTCTAGATTCCGGAATTTGCTGGTGTACAGTATTTTGTCTTCTAACACAGAAACCCTCTCCAAGAAAAGATTAATGATGTTATCCCGTTCCTTGTCTGTGTATCGACCCCTAAAATTCAACCCACTTCTTGTCGTCATGGGAAAGCCTTGATCCGGTTACCAAAAGACTGATGCAGCACGAACACTTGGTGGGCACAACAGCTTTGTAGAAAAGCCCAAATATCAAATTTGACCCGAAGTTAAAACAGCAACCAGGAATAGAATGAGAAAATATGCTTAAGAAGATGAAAATCTGATTAGTAATTCTAGGAATCACTCCTAGGAATCTTTAGGCATCATATCTAAAGTTAGGATGTATTCACACAACCCTAAGAAAAGAGGTTGAGCCTACGGGAAAATTTTATTAACGATATAAATCTGACTTCACTTTGTGGAGAAGTGGTTATTTATAGATGTTAGAACAAAGCCAACTCCAATCCTAATTAGGACTTCTAACTAGAATAGAATTCTAGTAGAAAGCTAGAAAGCTAAGCTTTCTTATTTCCCATATCAACTAAAATACTAATTATCAATAATAATTACTAAACAGAAAATTACCATAAACATAAAATTCCTACAGCTAACAAAATTACTAAAATACCCCTGCTGGTGAAAATCAGAAAACAAACTCCATGGGATTCAAACCAACTCCCAAGTTGGTTCCTTGTCATAAAAAACATGCCAAATCAATGCTTGGGCTTTCGACACATCCTTCCCACACCTCCTATAAACCTTAGTGGATTTTTGCCACTTACTCTATCAATAGTACAACGTCTCACTGATTTCCTGATTATGCCGCTGTGCTTAAATTGAGGGAATAGATAAGAGACTATTGAGGAAGCAAACATGTGGAGACTGGAGTAGTTGAAACCTTCTAAATAAAATCTAAAGAAGTTGTAGACATGTTACTAACATTATGATTGCTTTGGCTTTTATGAAGTAATAACATCACATGTATTGAAAAAGAAAAAGATCCTAACTCAATTGCACTTCCATTTTTCAGTTGAATACCATATTCCATCCTTGTCTATTTCCTTCTGAAAAATGGTTACAAAGTTCTTAGTCTTTGCAGGCCTTCCTTTTAGCTAGTCAATCTCGAGATGCTTCAATTTCTAGATTAAATTGATTCAATATTAATTGGAATGGTTGTTCTTTTCTGAAACCTGGTTGCTTTTTGAAATTCATTAATTTCTTCCTCTATTTCCTTTTGACATTTTATCTCCTTGTCCGACGAAAATTTTAATTATATCAAAACTTTTGTGTTTCGCTCATTTGCTGTTATCTCATCATGTTGCAGGAATATAACCGTGTGTGGGAAGAGGGAGATGACAGGTAATTTTTCTCTGCATGCTGTAGATTTGCTTTTCAACTTGGGAAATTACCTTTCCCTTGATGAGAACATTTGATGATTGTTAATTAACTGATGTTCATTTACTATGGGAGATTTGAAGGGTTAGTAACAGAACTTTTGTACCTCAGGGCAACTACAAAGTGTCTGTGGCCTTTAGAAATTCTACTGTCTGATATTTGGGAATTAGTTTCCGGACAAATTGAATTTTTATATATAGGGTAAGGACAAAGTACTTTAGCCATAAGATCTCACATGAAAGTGTTTTAAACGACTAAAAATAAGAAATCCACCCAACAGATTCTAATTACATCTTACAGCCTTACAGCTGCAAGGCATTCTTTGTCTTCCAGATGCATGCCTCAAAATTTGGCCAATGGGCTACCACTTAGTCAAATGCTTTACCAAGTTACTGCTGCGCAAATATGTGCTTTGCAATCTCTCTCTCTCATCCTCTTATTTTTGTAGCAGAGATTAGAATCCAACGCCTTGCCAGAATTCATACATCTTCTTTTCTTATACACGTCTAATGAAGTTACAAGTTTTTGCTCTTAGATTCGATGCTTTTGCATTTGCCTGTCTTTTTTTCTCAGGAATAGGATGGTGATTATGATTATTGCAACTGGTAATTGTCTTCAAATATCTTTTCTTCTATTAATTGTTAAGAAAAGGGTTGAAGTGCGTTAATACTTGCTTGGATAAAAGCTACTTGTATTTGTTCAGATACATACATTCCAAATCCAGATCATTTGGATATGGAGATGGGTTTTCTTATTTCATATTTGTCAGATAATATGACTCTGTTTGATTGATATTGAATGGCAATCTGGATCTGCCTCTCTATCTCATTTTTATCCGATTGTTTTGCAACCTTATATTATTGAATGCTCAGGTTTAATATATCAAAACTCTTGGAAGTTTCAGTGGCAACAGTGCATGCCTGTGCCTCTATCATTTGGTTTATTTTAGCATCTTCATTTGTAAGTAGTTGGTATTTTCCTTCTGGCAATCAAAGTGCTAGTTTCATATCACCTAATAGGAGTTGATTGACCTCAATATACGGGATTTCAATCAAATTTGAACAAGTTTAGATGTTTTAATTCGACTTGTGAAAAAATGTAGTCATTGCAGTCTAATCCTCCATGTGCTAGCCAACTGAAGTTGGGCTAGGTAGGAGGGAGAATAATTGAGGGATATCGAGAAGAGGAGTAACAAGTGGTGCTGAAAGTGAAAGAAAATAAGGTGGAGCCAAGCCAAAGAAAAGAAGAAGGAAGATGTAGACACAACCGTCTGGTGAAGGGAAAAAGAATAAGAAGCTGGGGTGGTCTGTATTTTAGTCTTACAGTCGAGGTCATTGACCTTAACCATGAAGTCAAGATCTCTGATCTCAACTTTAAAAATTGAGAGCACTAACCTTCACTTTTAATTGATCTTTTCCTGCCGCATGAATCACAGACCAGATCTCAACTTTAAAAATTGAGAGCACTAACCTTCACTTTTAATTGATCTTTTCCTGCCGCATGAATCACAGACCAAACTTGTGGACGTCAATGTCGATTTTGAAGTTGCGATTACTAATATCAAGTTACCACATTCCAGGAATTTAATTTAGTGTATTGATACCTGTTTTAATTCTTTCAGAAACCCTGATATACAGGTCAATCACCACTCTTTTACTGGAGTTATTCTGCTAATATAAAAGAGAGGCATATGGCAGAAAAGCTTAGTCTGATGATGGCCTCTAGTGTTTCTCAATTCACTCAGTAGTCGTGAGAGTCTCCATAAAAAATTGTTATTAGCAGTTGACCGTCATTAGGTGTTTTAGTCTGGTTCAATGAATAGTTTGCACATCGGAATATTTATTATTGTTGTTTCAGAAAGATGGATCTGCAGCGGTAATTGATGAATTGATTTCGGCTTTTTAGCTAGAATTTTTAAGTATGAAATCTGAATCATCTGAAAGATATGTGAATTTTTAAGTATAGAATTTTTAGGCGTCAATTATTCGTTAAAGGGTAGTAACTCCTCTTTCACTCTGCAGTGTTAACTGTTTTTCCACCACCTCACTTTTCTTGAGAAGAGCTTCTTTGTGCTTACTTTGCTTGGATTGTGCTTACTTTGCTTGGATTGTAATCACTTTTTGAAGTCAATTAGTATGGTAGAGGGATATACTTTTACATGGACTGTGACAATATCTTTTTTCGGCAATATGTCAAAGGACATGAAACATTTTCATGTGGTGCTTCATGATTCTAAAGAATAGAACTGATTAAAAAATTCCAGGAGCAGAGATTGATTTTGAAGGATAAATGAAGATATATTCAGAAAATTGGGTGAAGGGAAACCAAGAAATCATTCCCAGGGTTTACGGGGAATCTAACCTGCTGAAGTAAAGAATCACTTCTTACATTGGTATTGCACCGAGTCTGGAATTGAATGTTATTTCTGCTGAAAGTTCTAAAATGAATTGCATCTCCTTGTCTAGAAGATTAAATTGTATTTGACCACTAGTTATTCCTCCAGTAATATCAGCTTGGTTACTCAATTCAAAGCGCTTCCCAACTGAGTAGTTGACTAGAAGAGTCCTTATCATGCAGATGAACTTCCAACAAGATGAACCAAATCCTTCTAGTCAAACACTTCCAAATCAAATCTGTGTGTTTTACTCAGTTGTCTAGAAGTTTGGTTGAGAAAATAGTTTGGCTGGCTTATATAGGGCTTTTGATTTTGGCTGATTTAGTCAATGCAATTTCACTCTAGTAGTTAAAAAAGAGAATTCCAACAATTACTTTTGCCTTTCTGAAGAGCTGATATATCGTTAGGGCTCAGAATGAGTTAGGGCTCAGAATGAGTGATTGTTTGGTTGTCGAGTATGGTTTTGCCAGTGTTTGCCAATTGCTTTTTCTTTGCCTTTTACCAGCAGAATCTCATAAACAGCATGATTATACTGTTTGCTATGGGTGCCCCATAATCCATCTTTTCTTTTGTCAATCTATCAGTACACTTGGTGCCAAAATGTTTGCAGAGAGTTAATCTGCACAGGAACATGCCAGCTAATTGAAATTGTTTCATCCACAATGATCATCTCTGATTGCTTTTTTTTTTTTCTTGTTCTAAAATTAATAGGTTAGATACAGCCATTTAAGGCTCCTTATTTCACAGCTGAAGTGCTTGTTTTTTTCTCAGTTCTGTGTACCTGTTTGAATTGCATAATTGGATATTTTACTCTGGTTTTGAAACTACTTCTGGCAGTGTACAATGTACTTTATGCTTCCCTTTTATCTGTCACAATTCCTTTTCTGTGACAGCTGCAGTCAGGAATTTTTCCTTTGTAATAGTCGTTTTGGTTTTTGGATATGATATATAATGTTGCTGTTTCTATGCTGGTACAGAGTTGAGAAGGTTCCACTTTATGACTCTGCTAAAGATGAGCCCTTTTCACGCATCCCTGAAACCATTAGCCCTTTCAAATTTGATTCTTTGGATGGTCTGGCAACTGATTACTCTCATAAAATGGAAGTTGGCGATGTGCTTGAATGGAAGTTGGATTCCTCTAATACTGTCATGCCACACAATTCAGCTCAAGTTGATGGCATGACAATGAATACCGAGAAAGTAGAAGTCTTGGAGAGTGGAAAATCAAAGGAACAAGATATGCAACAGGCTGTTTATCAGATGAGTGCAGTCTTATCTGGACTTCGAATTGATAGTGCTTCTCGAAATTTTGATGTCGGATCAGGCTCATCTTCAAAGAAGAAATCAGACCGTTTATCAAAGCAAAAGAAAAGCTCTACTGGGGGAAAGCAATCCAATACAAAAAATATTGCTGATCTGTTTCAATCAAAGGAGGAAGCGCAAGAAGATGTTGGATCAAGTTCGTCTTCAAAGAAGAAATCAGAGCGTTTACCGAAGCAAAAGAAAAGATCTAGTGGGGGAAAGCAATCCAATACAAAAAATATTGCTGATTTGTTTCCATCAAAGGAAGCACAGAAAGAAGTGCACAAATATGAGGTACAAATAATCTTTCTCACAGTTTTTGTGAGCCTTAAAATATTCCCTGTATCTATATCTGTTACTAGCTAGCTTATCTCTCTCTCTCTCTCTCTCTCTCTCTGCACACATTGGCGTCCTATTCGTATGTCATATAATTGAACCTTATCTTGTTTTTGTCCAAGACAATCATGTGAATTATATGGGGCATGGTGGTGTTCCAGTATTTTGTTCTCGCGCGCACGACACACATACGCTCACTCTTTCTTTCTCATGAAATGAGAGGCACTTGGGCTTCCCATCAGTTTATAAGCTTGTCTTGTTTTACTAAGGACAATCATGTATGCTGTATGGCGCATGGCGGTATTTCAGTATCTTGTATCATTGCTGAATGCTGCATTTAATGTTATTCATCTTTTTGCTACAGTCAATATGCTTGCAGTTAAGTGAAAGTTTTTTTAAGTGGTGTGGAAGCTTATTACTAAAACAAGGAATGAAAATAATGCTTATTTAGAATGTGTTGGGCTATTCAATCTGATTGATTCTTTGTTGAGTTTTGAAGGTACTGTTAAGCATATGAATTAGTCTCTTTACCATCACTAAGGAAGGCGAAATATTTGTAGTTTGTATGTTTATGCTTAATTCTAGTATTGCTCATTGAAGCAACCGCACTCTTCTTCTTGTTCCTTTGTTGTTCCTTTTCTTTTTGGGTGTTTGCCTTCTTTCTTTTCGCGTTTTGTTTGGTTGATGCTTCCTTGAAATGTGTCTCTGTTGTCTAGACAAATAAGCAATTTGTCCTTACCATCACAACAACTGATTAAACTTTTATTATGTTTGTCAAAACCTATTTTCTTAATCTTCCACCAATGATAATCCTTCTAGTGCTTATGCTTGTGTATTTTGTCGAATCATTTGCATCGATATTCTTTTTCCTCTTGGTTTTTTTGCTAACGCATTATCCTGATTCTCAAATAATCCTTGCCATATTTATCATATTTTTATGATTTTCAGGAAATTAAGAACCAAGCTGCTGCCAATCTCAGATCCGTATATGATGAAATACGTCCTGCCATCAAAACGCATGGGAGGGACAGCCAGGACTGTGTTCCTCCTAGTGTGGAAACTAAGTGGGTTGGAGCGCACTGCGCGAAATATAAAGCTGATCTTAACTTTAGTGTTTCTGTCATAAAGAACTTTCTCGATATTGCTCAAAAGGGTGGTAGTGGACCAAAGGCTTCAGGAAGTGGACTCTCTCTGAAAGAATGAAGCGTTGTTGTGCGGGCGCTAAAGAATGCATTGGAAACATATCTAAATTTATTAAAAAAAAAAAAGTGGGGACCATTTGGGATTTGAATTCTGTAATATTTTAAGTATTTTGAAGTTTGAGGAGTTATATCTGTGGATTTAAATAAGAAGGTATTTTGAGAATTTGGTTATTTATAGTATAATAATGTTATAAGTTTAGTTTGGTTAGCATTCCTTCTGTTGGCTTTGAGTTATTTTGTTAGTGTTTTTTTATGTTATCTGCTCTCTGGTCAAAATTATGTTGCAAATACGTTAAGTAACTAGGCATAATTGGTACCAAATGATAAATATTTGACTGATGGTTATTGGCAAAAATTTGATCTGTCATTAGTATTTGATAGCAATTTGGCCTACGGCGACTTAGTCGTGGTTAAGAGTGAAGGAATTGCACTAGTTGTGCTGGTAAGAAAACAAATTGAAAGTCTGATTGACATTGTTTATGATGTCACATGTATATAAATATTTAAAATAATGAAAATATCATAGAAAATACTTTTAATGATTTAGTTACTATTATCAATAATAATATGGATAGATTAATTAAAATCATCTCAAAAATATTTGAAAGACTAGGACGAAGAATGGACCAATTAACCTCAATATATAGAAATATAAAAATTGTGCTAACACCGTGCACCCTAGAAATCAAGGGAAGTTATCTAGTAAAATCGAAATCAATCCAAGGGAGCATTGCAAGACAATTATTCTCCTGGGTGAGAGAGAATATGATAGTCCTTCTAATGTTGTGCTATAGAGAAAAGAAAAAACGAAGAGCAAGAGAGTTTGATTGATGATCAAAGGGTAAGTGTAAGAGAAAAAGGCAATGAGAAAATTGTAAATGAAATAGAATTAACATCTAAAACTAATGTAGCCATACCTCTCATACCATTCCCTCAAAGACTCAAGCAAAATCGATTGGAAAAGGAGTTTGAAAAGTTTGTTAAAATGTTTAAACAATTGTATATTAACATTCCTTTTGCAAATACTATTTCTCAAATTCCATCTTAATGCCAAGTTCCTTAAGCAAATCATGTCAAAGAAAAGTCATTTAAAAGATCACAAAATGATAGCATTGATAGAGGAATGTAGTGCATTGATTCAAAAAAAACTCCCTCCAAAGTTAAAAAATTCGGACAGTTTTTCAATTTCTTGCACCATTAACATTAACTTTTCAAATGCATTATGTAATTTAGGTGCAAGTGTTTCATTAATTCTTCTATGCATTGTTCAAAAACTTGGTTTAGGTGAACTTAAGAGGACTAGAATTTCTTTGCAATTAGCGGATAGGTCAATTAAATATCCTCTTGGTGCGCTTGAGAATGTGCTTAAAAAAGTCAAGAATTTCATAATTTTGGTTGATTTTATTGTTGTTGATATGGAAGAGGATGTTAATATGCTAATTATACTTGGTAGACCTTTCTTAATTACGACCGGTGCTATTATTGATGTTAAACAAGGGAAGTTTAAATTCAAAATAGGAGAAAATGAAATTGAATTTAATTTGCATGAACTTGAGAAAATTCCTTCATTTACTAATTGTGTTTATGCAATTGATGTGATTGAGAATCTAACTCAAGATATGAGTCGGATTAAGCAAGAGTCCGATCCTCCTAAAGTTTGTTTGTTTGATGCTATTTTTCAAGAAGATGATTTGGAGATTTTGTAAATAACTAATTAATTTCTTGAACTTTCGAGTGCCTTATAAAGAGGAAATCATTACAAAAGTTTAGGAAAAGGAAAGGACTACCACCGCTGTCAAATGAGTAAATACCAATTCTTGACATTAAAGTAGTGCCCGATCATCTAAGGTATGCAGTTTCTGGCGAAAATAATGCATTACTGGTAATAGTAAGTGCTTTTCTTGATAATGTGCAATTGGACAAGTTGTTACAAATTTTAAGGAGGTACAAATCGACAAGTGGTTGGACCATTTCCGACCTCAAGAACATAACTATTTGCATGCATAGGATTCTTTTGGAAGAGAAATGCTAAGTCGGTGGTGGAAATTCAAAGGCGTTTGAATCCAAATGATTAGCATTTCTTTTACTTATTTTTAGTTAGGTTTTAGGGTGAGTTTTTGGTGTGTTTTAAGTTAAAATGGAAGAATTAATTTCTTTTATAAGTTACTTTTCATACAAGTAGTGTTTATTAACCAAAACATGCAAAAGTGTGGGTTAATATGCAAATTTGGGTTGTTTTTGTAGATTTTGGTATCCTTTAAATTGATTCAAATCAAGAAGAGATTGATAGTTTTGACATACCTTGGCATTTTGGCTATATCTTGAATTACAAGTATCGGATTGAGATATTTCTTAAATCATTTTGAAGATAAAACATAGCTCTATAATTCTTGTGAAGATATCAAAATCCAGTTCATTAATTTCCATGGTCAAAAGGCCAAAATATAGTCAGGAGAAATTTCTATCAAAAGCTGAAACAGGACATTGACCATTCAAGGATATTTTGGTCATTTATCATGTGAGAACTCGAGAAATTTATGTGTACACTTCGAATTTATTTCATTACATTTAATTTGTTATTAGAAATATTATATATAACAAATAAATGGTTAAATTAAATGCATAATTGAATTCCTATAAAATTGAAAATTTACGAAAAATTATAGTGATAAAGATAAAATATATATATAATAATAAACAAAATAATAGAATGGTGTAGAAAAATTTTAGGGATCAAATAAACATATGATAGACATATTGCAAATTGTGACATTTGAATTTATTATACAGTTAAATAAGTACATGTCTAATTACTTTCTTTAAAACCAAACGTGTGAAAATCTATTAGATTAATGTAAGCAAATTTCCAAGAAAATACATATAAAGTTACAAATTAATGTAGGAACTAATAAACTATAGCCTTAATAGGTAAATAAGTTAAAGTCAAAAGATGAATTTACCCTTGGAACCTAAGTAATTAACCATGCAGCCAAGCAAACTAAACTATCAGCAATTTTACAATAGGAACCGAGGGAAGGAAGAACATTTAGAGAGTCTGGAACCGAATGGAAACAAGGCAATCATCTGCCAAGTCTAAGCGGTGGAAACGGTGGAAAGGAGAAAACAAGTAGAAATTAGATACTAGGTTGGGTGGTGAATAACACCTGCTAAGACAGCTGCCAATTATTTGCTAAGTTATGTGAGGAAAAATTCGAACCAAACCTAGAAGCCACAGCAATTGTTCACATTGGCACTGAGAATGAGGTCAAGAAGACATAAATCAGCATTCATTTGGACAAAAGCAGAAAAGGAGATGATTAAGGGTTTGACTATGTGTCAAGGTGTACAGATGGTTGGAAGCAGTCTCGTTTGCAGCAGCAGAAATTCTATCTTTGTACACTCTAATGGGAGTTCGACCAAAGAATGCCGTTTGTCATGAAATGTTACAAAAATGCATGGCCTGAGCCTACAACAAGAAGTTTCATCAGCATACATTTTGAGGAAGGCGGCAAAGCACTCAAGCAAACTTTGCCAATACAAAACGAAGGCAGCGGAAAATTTGCTCAAAATCAGAAGGGGCTGTTCATTGTCCAAAAGGTATTATCTAGCAGAACACTTATTTTGGCAGAAATGGATAGGCAAATATTCCCTCAACCCATCAACTCAGACATGTGCAAGAAGATTTTCATTTGATCATGCAAATTTTCTTTAGAAATTCATGCAAATGGCGAAATGCAAGTCAGGCCATTTTCTTTTACATTTAAAGCATTTTATCCCTACTTGTCCCCTTTGAGCCATCAGAATTGACAAATTTTCGTTTGGCAGCCCTTGAGAATTGCAAACCCCACACTGGGGCAAATTCATTTTGAAAAGAGATTATCAGAAAGAAAAGGAAAACCCCACACTGGGGCAAATTTATTTTGAAAAAGAGATGAAAAAAAAGAACCCCACACTGGGGCAAATTTAGTTTTTGAAGGAAAATGCAAAAGTGAGGAAAATGTAATGAAAAATACAAAGAGAAAGAATTCAATCAAACTGGGGCAAATTTTCCTCAGTTTCATTCAAAATTGGAGATGATTTCAAATGATACAATCTCAGGTTATTTCACCTCTCATAAGAACAAGTTGCTTTCAAGCCTCAACTTTTCTTGAAAAACACTCCACCTGACCTCATTACAAAGCCCAAAGTCCTGGCTTTCGTCATTTGTTGTATTTCTATTAGGAAATTTGTCAATCAACTGGCAAGTGATGCCCATAATGCCTTCGCCTAATCTCACAAGGGAAGTGCATTTTACTGATGCCAAAAATCTTTAACTCATAATTTCTGAGTCAATCATGGTCGAGATGTTTCATTGTTCTTTAGGTGAAAACCCGAAAGGGCGCCTCGAAAAAAAGAAGAAAGAAAAAACAAAGAAAAAGAGAAAAAGAAAAAAAAAAGAAAAGGAAGAAAAGAAAAGAAAAGGAAAAAACAAAATAAAAGGGGTGGGACAACCTTGGTGAAAACCCGAAAGGGCGTCAAGGTAGGGTTCTGCAGCGAGCGAACACGAGGAGGAACAACTGGTGACTTGGTTCATTGGGATTTCTCCTCATTTTTGTCATACTTCTGCCAATATTGAATTCCAGAACAAAGATATACAGAGAATTGAATATGACATCTGTTGGCTGAAAGCTGCGTCACTTTGTAAAACATCTTTTCTGCAAAATACATTCTTATGAAACTCATTTTTCTCAATTGCTTGTATTCATGATATTTTTAAGCACAGTTGTTTGTGTTTGCATTCTTTTACACATTCATTTCTGCATGACATGTGAAATTACTTTCTTTTAGTCATCGAATTTTGGCAAATAACAACCCCCATGGTTTATCCAAAGCATACTTGGATTCAGTCATCTTTCGGAAATGGTTGAGATTCAGCAAAACTGATTACACAAGTTTCACAACATGGCAAAATGCATACCCGGTCAGTCTGGGAAAAGTAGAAACGTTTGGAAGCGACAAATCGAACTAAGTCAGATGCCGCAGCAAAAGTTGGCAAAGGCATCAAAAGACTCATGTTTACACGATTCTCAAGGCAAACCGGATCGAATGATGGTGGCAAATCCATTATTTCTTCTTTTCTTGCAGGAACGTTGCATTTACAAACAAAAACAACCACACTTCTTTTCGCACCTAAATCGACGTCAGAAAAAGCTCCCCAGT